TCGCTCTTGTTACCCAGGCTGGAGTGCAATGGCACGATCTTGGCTCACCGCAACCTCTGCCTTCTGGGTTCAAGCAATTCTTCCACCTCAGCCTCCCGAGTAGCTGGGACTACAGGCGTGCGCCACCATGCCCAGCTAATTTTTGTATTTTTATTAGAGACGGGGTTTCACCATGTTGACCAGGATAGTCTCAATCTTTTGACCTCGTGATCCACCCACCTCCACCTCCCAAAGTGCTGGGATTATAGGCGTGAGCCGCCGCGCCCAGCCACACTGATAGATTTTTGAATTGTTCTTCTTTGTCGTGGTTGTTCAAAGTAACCAATTGTTTGCCTCTGGCAAAAGCCACAGTACCAAAGCTAATTAATGACATATAAGTCATCAGGAAGGTGAATGGTTGTGTTAATTAGTATTGAATTTATTTAATAGTCTACTTTTTCTTTATAGGGTGCAAAAATGCAGAGTAATAAAACTTTTAACTTGGAGAAGCAAAACCATACTCCAAGAAAGCATCATCAACATCACCACCAGCAGCAGCACCACCAGCAGCAACAGCAGCAGCCACCACCACCGCCAATACCTGCAAATGGGCAACAGGCCAGCAGCCAAAGTGTGTATATGCTGGGTGATGGAGTAGAAATAGATTCCCACTGGGAATGGTTTCTTGGTTTTTAGATTAGTTTCTCGGGATTATAAGGGAATAGCCTTTATGGCACACCTTTGTTCTTTTCCCTCTTTATCTCTTAATACTTCTTATGATGGAAAAGGCTAATTATTCTCCGGAACCAAGGAGCAAATGTGTGACAGCAGTTGAGTACAGGTTGCTCTGCTGTGTTGGCACATTCTACTGCTAAACAGACATCTGCATGTTTTATCTCAGCTTGGTTCTTAGAGGTAATCATCAGATGACTGGTAGTTAAAAAGAATATAGAATAAGTCTTTTTTTTTAATCACCACCCCCCCCAGCCCAAAGCCAGAATGTCTTTAGGCTTAAATGGAGAAGTCTGGTACTGAGTATTATACGGTTAGCCTTGAGCCTGTACCAGCTCATTGGAAAAGTCTTAAGTATACGTTCCCGTTCAGTCAGTAAACTTTGAGTACCATTTGTATGTCTCTAAGACTGGAACCAATCCCAGCTTTATTTCCAGAGATTACTATAAAGAATTGCTCTTTCCAGCTGGGCGCGGTGGCTCACGCTTGTAATCCCAGCACTTTGGGAGGCCGAGGCGGGTGGATCATGAGGTCAAGAGATCGAGACCATCCTGGTCAACATGGTGAAACCCCGTCTCTACTAAAAATACAAAAAT